CTCTGATTCTACTTTAGCTGCTGGTCAGCTAGATTTACTGCTTTAGCATTAGCTCCTGCTTTAACAACTACTACTGCTGCTACTCCTCCTGCCCTTGCTACTCCTGCTGCTGCTTCTGATTTACCTCCAGCATCTCCAGCCTCTTTCTCTGGATTTCGCTCAAGTATCAGCTTATGCTCCAACTGAAGTTCCGCTTAAGTTTCAGCTTAAGTTTCAGCTTATGTTCAGCTGCTGTTCATGGCTGAGCTGTTGTTGTTGTCCTTGCAGTTGGCCTTCATTCAGCTGACGCCTGATTCCTGTAGTTGTAGCTCCTGCTCCCACTCCTGCTGCAGCTCCAGCTGGCCCATCTATTCTTGTTGCAAGTGCAACACTCCTGCTCCCACATTAGCCTCAGCTCCTTCCACCTGTCGCCCCTCGTCCTACAAGCGAACTTCATTCAGTTTGCCCACAATATGACGCTCCATTGCGTTTCACTCTCTCTCCACAGCCACCCACCTCCCACTCTCTCTCTGTCTCTCCCTCTCTCTATCTCATTCTACTAGTGTCTCGCACGTCGCACGCCAGCTGTGGCACGTGCGCCACTTTAGGAGCTGCGTTGGGGCTCGCTCTGGCGCTCTGGTGCTCGATGCTCAGTTGATGTTGGTTCCTCGTGCCGTGTGGTTCGTATTGTGGACGCGTTTGAAATTGAGCTGTGGGAAAATCAACTTTTCAAGAAATTAGGTAAAATTCGGCCATTCGTCTAATGAGCCAATGAATCTAATAGCCAAATTTATGTTTTTCTGAATTTGCATTTTTTATATGTTTTTTTTTTTTAAATTGCTTCACAGGTGTGTGTGTGTGTGTCTGCTACGCTTGGCGCCACTTCCGCTCATTCACTTTCTATATAAATATATCATTTAATTTGTTTTACATTCGTTTATTATTTATGTTTTTTTTATGATTTTTTTGCTGTTGTTTTTCTTTTTTCACTTAGGTCGAGCGCCATTAAAATTCTGACAGCCAAACAAATTATTTTCGGCCTGTCTGCGGCAGAGTCAAAGACTTTTATTATATGAGTATATATAAAGCCGATATATATATGTACATGCTTACATACATATACATATATGTATGTATACTGTCTACTAAAGATATTCATCTTTATTTTGTTTTGATTTTTTTTCATTAGCCTAATTTATTTGTGGAACATTTCGCCTTGTTGACACGCGAATAGCCAATTCAAGCAAATATTAAAGCGCATCTGTCGGTAACATTCCAATTAGTCTCCATATACCCTGTTTATCCTGTTTGCATAGGGCGTATCATTACTGCTTGATTGCCTTGAAGAGCTTACACATATATAACTATTTCTTTCATTGTTCCATTTAAATTAAAAAAAAAATAAATAAATTAAAAAAAATTACACATTATTATTTATATTTTTTTTAGATCAATTGATTAGTGTTCTATAATTAAAAAATATATTTTTATATTTCTTTTTTTTTTCTTTGCTAATCCAAACTTAAATGTATATTTTTATTTACTTTATAATTATTTGTCCCTTAAAAATATTTAGGGTATCTCCGGTCTATTATGAGGGCACTTTATCACAGCCAAAAAATTGTTGCCAAATTTTGAAAAGCTATTGTCAAGGTTAATGCCTAATGAGATCATATTTACATATACACATGGATGTATGTACATATGTATATGGATACATTCATATCTATGCACACCCATATTTGAGCAGTTCCCATTTTCACACGTGAAAAAATTGGCATGACATCTGCCGGATTTCTAAGTCGCAATTTCTGCATTTCAAAGTCTTGGCAATTTCTTGCATGATGTAAGACTGTTTATCAATTGACCGAATGTGCACTTATGTAAATATGTAAATAAAAAAAAATTCCATATGCACTCTATATGTTTATATAGCATTGTCTGGAAACAACTGGTTATTCAATTGGTAAACTTGCGTATACAAATCACAGATGTGCAATTTGATTTTCTATTGGTCTTATTGGAGGGCGTCGGTCGATCAATTTTCAAGCTCATTTTCTATTTTCCATTCATCTATGTATGAATATGTGTATGAGTGTGTGCGCTTGCATTCGTTTACGGCGCTGTAGAATTCTAGAACATTCTGGCTGTGTGCATGATTAAATGAGAAGTTGACAAACGAAATCAGCTGCAGTCCTGTGTGCAATTTAAATAAGAATCTTATTGGACTTGCAATGAGAGTTGAGAGCTAAGAGTTATTTTTGAAAGAGTATGCCCATTTTAAGTCATAATTAATTTGTATATGCTTACTCATATTTGTTGTCATAATCATAGCTCACTCCCTCGCTCTCCTGTCCACCCTTTCTTACACTCAAAAAAATTACTCATGATGCAATTTCTTTCTCTCTCTCCCTTGCAGCTATGGATATGAACAAGCGAATTGTCAACATGGATGCAATTAACACAAATAAACGCATGAAAAAGCATAATCAGTAAAATATACAGGAAAAAAACCGCAACATAAAGAGCGCATAAATATACATATTTATAAAACGACAGCCCAAAAGCAAAAGTAAAAGCACAGTCAACTCTTTGACTCTTCAGCCGAATTGTCAACTGTAAAAACGAAAGAGAGCAACGAAAAGAGAGCGCGCGAGCGCACTTTGCCTTTGTTTACACGCCCATTTGTGCGTTGACGTAGCGATTGCAACCAGAAGTGAACAATATAAGCAAATATTTAGCCAAACTAAGCAATAAATCAGTTGAGCAATTAATTAAATAAATTTCAACAGAAACGGTAAACTATTATTAAAGCGGCTTTACAGCGGCCGGAGGAAATTTCAACAAAGAGTTTGCGCATACATATATAAAGAGAGGCAGAGCGAGTGAGAGAGAGAGCAAGCACAGTTGGTATTGCACTGAGAGGGCGCATACTGGCGGCTGGTCGAAAATATACGCACGAAGACAAACGAACACACACACACCCATACAAATATACGTCAACAAATTTCGTTGAGTGCTCCAAAGTCGCGTGCTTGGCTCTGTTGGCGCTGTGCCGCTGCCATCCAGATAGAAATTGAGTCTCTCGCGTGACACAACGTGCGTCCAAACGAGCGGAAAGTTTTCTTTAGTGTGTGCTCTCTGTGTTAAAGTTTGCTCTGTTTTTCTTTCTTTGCTTTTGGTTGCTCATTCGCTTGAGTAGCATTAGCAGCGGGCGCAGGCAGAGCAGCATTTGAGCATTCGCCGCCTCCCCAACGAAACGGCAGTCGGTCATTGAAAGCCCAAAAAAACAATAAGAAAAAAATTGTTTTGCCTGTGTGGAAATTGGCATTGCTAACCGTGGTGAAGCTTAAGCGTCCAACTTACACAGCAAATAAACAAGCATTTTATAAATAAACGTGCGCAATAAATAAACAAACGGCAAACTTTTAAGTGCGAGTGTAAAATATCGATTTTTGTGAACAGCAAACGCGCGTCGATGACCTCGACGACGGTGACAGCCACGGCTAAAACGGTATAAAAGCAAAAGCTGTGCAAGCGAACGAGTGAGAGCGAGAGAGAGAGAGGCTAACAAGCTAACGCTTTTTGCCCAAATCCAATTGAGCCACGTTGTACATAATTGCCCAAGCGCATAAAGCAACAACAAAGGCAGCAACAACAACAACAATAAGAGCCACCGCAACCAAAGCCAAACTAGCAAAAGCACAAATTATAACGGCGTCCGCAAACCTAGTGCAAGTGGCAAACCTTTTTGTTGCTGGAAGAAGGCGAAAAAGTAGCACAGCACTTCCAGAGAGCGGCCCAAGCAGCTGCTGCAGTCGAAAATCACAGCGACACATGCTTAGATATCGGCTCGTCTCAACACACTTCCTAAAGCAGCCGTAGTTAGCCCACAGGCACAAACACACACACACAAACGCGCGCTAGTGGAATAGTGGAAGAGGGAGAGCAACAGCGTGCGAGTGTGAGAGCGAGCGAGCGAACGTACGAGCAACAACTGCTGCAACCACAACGGCTGCAGCAAGAGAGCAGTAGAAGGCGACAGAGGAAGAGAGAAAGAGAGAGAGACCGACAGACTGAGCGCCAAGTCACTGGAAAGGCCGATCGCAGGACACGAATACGAATATAAGGCGCTGCGCGACCATACAAAAAGGGCGTCAGGTGTGCCGGCTGAGCTCATTCACGTGCCGAACGTTGCAGTGCGAGGAGCCTGTTCACTGGATTAAGTGGAAAGTGATCGCATTCGAGTGTTAAATCGATTTAATTAATTCTAAAGCGCTCAACGCTTGAACAACCGCAACAGTTGCAACAGCTTGCAGCAGAGGCGGCCTAATTAATTTGCATCCGAGCGGGCCTTATAATTCAGTCACAACGTATTCGCTAGGAGTTCTACGCCTACTCGGTTTGAGCTGTTTTAATTTAGATAGCGAAAATGTGCAGAGATCGCGATATGAGTTTGTCATAGATCAGCGCAATCGTCAGTATAAGGTTAAGAAAAAAATTAAACTGATGCTGTACTGAGAGTCCCCAATGTCTGTATAACAGATAGATTGATAGACCGAGCGAGAGAGAGAGAGTGAGCGAGCGAAAGCGAGAGAGAGCGTGACAGCTAAAGAGCGAGCCTTGGACCAAGCAACAACAACAATAACGAAAACAACAACCAGGAGTTCTACTTAAGATCAACAAAGCTAAAATACCAAAGTTAACAATTTAAGTCTACAATATTAGTCATCATTCGATCGATCAATCAAAATCCATCAATCGAGCAGTCAAGCAATAATAGCCAGGATCATCGGATTCGCATGTGTGTGCCAACGTGTGTGTGTGATCGCCGGGGTGTTAAAGCCTGAGATGTGACTATTTTTTGCAACAACTTATTTGACTAAAATTGCCTCCGTTTCCCCCAAACAAGGAACAGAGGTCCAAGTGGAGATTTATTTTGTTGTTTCTTTGTAACGCTACTCGGTGTGCGCGAGCTTTCGATATATAGTTATTAATATTCTTATTCTCATTATTACGATTATTATTATTGTTATCATCATTATTATTATTATCAATATTGTTATTATTCGTGGTTTGTGTTAAACAAAAACGTCGTGCAACTGGCGAAAGTACGTGGAAAAATCAGCAAAATTGAAGACTTTGCGAGAAATCTTTGGAAGTCCGTTAAGGCTTGCGTTGTAAGTATAATTAATATATTCAATTATTTATGAATAAATAATAAATAAGTATTTGCGTGTCAATCGAAATTAGGCTATTGTCTTAGCGCTTTGTTGTCTTTTGGTAATTTTCCACCCTTGTCACTGGAATTTTCCGAAAATTTCATTTGCAGAAGCACGTAGGCCATCAAGAAAAACTACACTGAAACAAATAAGAAACAGCTGTTCTCTAATCATTGATCTTTATTCATAGTCGAGCGTTCCAAGTTTTTTTTTTTATAATAATAGAATTGATAATGCTGAGTCAGAGTGGAACACTTGGGTTTATCAAAGATCATTTAGCTTCATAGATTATTTCACTTTAATTTGGCACGAGCCGATTTTTTTCAAGGAATTTTAAGTTTTGATGTGATGTATATTCGATGTTTTTGCTTTATTTATTTATCCATGCATTTATAAAGTCTGTAGCACAAAGGAATTCTACTGATTATTTATAGTAATTATTATTAGTATTATATACTGTTGAAGTTAAATGTGATTTGAACAGCTGTGGCTATATACATAGTTGAATGTCGACGAACTTTATAGACTCGAATATATGACTTATATGACTTTTCCTCTCTTCTAATTTACTATTTCTCGATCTTACACGAATTTTTCTAATGCTTAAACATATTTCCTAATACTTAGACTTTTTCTATAACATGTTCATAATGGCAATCATTTTAACTTTGTGGTTTATTTGCCAATTCCAATGCCAAATTTTAGTTTTCCAAAGAAAGTTAAGGCTTAAAGTTAACCAAAATTCATTATTTTACTAAATAGTTTCATACATTTTTGTTTAGCTCACAATGTCTCTATAATGTCTCAAAGATGAAGATTCTATTCATACTTTGCACTTAGCCAAATTTAGCTATACCTTGTATTTCTATGCCTTTGCTAAAACTCAAAGATCAAGAGCGAATTTACCACTCTCTATATATTTCTTAGACTCTTTCTCGCTCTCTCTGTTTGTCAATCATTTCGGCTGGTCGGCTGTTAACTTAATTTATTGCCTTGACGTCCGTCTGTCACAATTATTGATAATCCATTTCACACATTTGTTCAGTTTGTTGCTAATCGTGTTGGATTTCATTTTTGATATATTGTTATAAAGAAATTCACACCTTTTGCATTTGTAAGCCGAGCGTTGCCAGGCACAAAATAGAACTTCATGGAACCGATTATTGGCAGTTGTTGATAAACACAGTGGCTGGACTTTGCTAACTAACTCAATCTAACTCTCTCTCCCTCTATCCCTCTCTCTCTTTCGTTTTTGCACTGTTTATGTCAATCATGATTGATATCCAATTTGTTCAGAACATAAACATTCAGTGTAATAGATAGCGTTGTTTGTCTATAACAAAGCGGCTTTCATATCTTTCGTATCGTAAGCGCTACCAACTGAGTTTTTTCCATAACTTTTCCATTGAATCGATTAATTTGTTATTGTTGTTTCAATATATGTACATATATGTATATATATAGTGTTCTTTGTTTGCCGTTGACGCATCAATGGTAAGACTCTGCATTAGTCTTCTGTACTCCAATAGAAGCACAGCTGAGCATTTACTGTGACATATATACATATATAGCTATATAGTTAAAGGCTGTCTCTCTCTCTCTCTCCCTCTGTCACATTTTAACATACTTTTTTTCCGTTGAGCTATAAATTTTCCATTTGGGTAATGCGACTGTCCCAATATTTACTTGTTGTCTCTACCTGTTCTCACTCTTGTCGCTGTTGTCGCGCGAGCTTAACAAACTGTTGCGTGCTTTTAGGCACCACACCCCTCACCCATGAATACTTACCTGTTCTTCACTTCGTTTCGCATAATTTATTTACGTGCTAACAATCTGCACGTCACAGTTGTCGCCGTCATGCAATCCCCATAATTTGCGGCTGTTGACCCAAATAATTACATGGCTTATTAGACAAGTCAATAAGACGTTGGTCAATTACGAAAATATGAACAAAATGGAAGATGAGCCGAGCTCCAATAGGCGTTACCTTGGGAGGTCAAATGAATGGGATATTTATTTAGGAAAATATATACATATATAAAGTGAAGGTTTTTATAGCGATATCTGTTTATATTTTCATTTAATTAAGCCTTGTTGATTTGTGGAACTTAGTTGTATTAATGAGAATCGCATACAAAGGCTTTGTTGTCATTGCTTTTACTGAAATGTGCTTTAGAGAGGGAAGAAATTGTTTTATAACAATATGGTGTAAGACAAACAGATGTACATACATATACCTTAAATTATTCTATACAGAATTTATTAACGTTCATACATTCATATATTCACACATTCATTCCTACATGTATTCAGAGTTCTACATATATACATTTCTATGTTCATACATACATTCATCATTGATATATACACTCATGTATTCATACATTCCCATTCATTCATTTACATACACTTCATCCTAAATTTCTTTGAGAACCGCATAGAAAGGCTGTACATTGAAAAGTATGCTGTACAGAAAGTAGCAAACCATTTCTGTATATGAGAATATACATTTAGGCATGAATATCTGCATATGTACATATATACTTCACATATATGCACATACATATATTCATATTTTAATATGAATTACCTCTCAACAGCAGACAATTTGTGTCGTTGGCTTTTTCTTTAGCCTCCGCATTCACACGGCTATTGTGCTTCAATTAACAAATCACATCGATCAAGCCACGAGCAAAATGTGTAAATTTGTCTATAATTAGATAATACACAGAGTTCACACTGTGCAGATATGTATATATTTTTTTACGTTCGTTTATTTCTGAACCGATTTGAAAAGTACACAAAAAAAAAAAAAAAACATTAAAGATTTATTTTTAGCATTGTACTGTGAAGAAATTTGAAATGTTTTTTCCTTTTTTTTTTTTTAATATACGCAAACAGCGGCAATTTAAAAAAAAAATGCCAAAATGATGGGCGAGATACCCTGGAATTAGGTTTGTGTGTGGGGTATATATGAGGGTGTCAATTTCTTATGAAAAACTATTTTCTTGGGCTACATGAGATTTGAAGAAGCTAAGAGAATTATTTTTTCTCAACGAGAATTTATTTCAGTTCATGACGAAAGCATTTCACAAGAGAGTCTCTATCGGGATATTATGTTATGAATTTTCTCATTGCTATTTCTCTCTCTTTCCCTCTTTTTTCTGGTCGTTTGGCGAAGCTATTCTTACCAATCAGTTCTGATTAATCGGATTCAATTTTCGTTATTTTAATACTCAAGTTTTTCTATAGGGCATCTACTAGCCTACTGCCAAAAATTCTTATGTTTTCATAAACATCGTTGATACATATGTATATTACGTTTTTGTTAGACAGAGATTCTTGCTGTTCTCATTGAGACTTAGTATGAGCTCATTCAAAAATCTCGTGACATTTGTTTACCATGCATATACAAAAAGAGAATACAAGAAAACAACAACTATATCAAAGGTGGGAGCCGAGAGCTAGTACCAGTCTGTCTACGGCACGTGGCAGCAGTTGACAAAAAATCAAACCTCATTTGGCAAAGCAAAATTAAAGCAGAAAAGTGGTATGCAAAAAATTTCAAATGAACAAAAAAAAAATAAAACCTGTTCGCCTTCACCAGAGAGACGCATAAATCAAGGCAAAATACAGTCATATATATATGGAGTATATATATATGTACATATATACTTGCTTGATCAATGCTTGGCAAAGTTCACGAAACTGGAAAGAAAGAAATTTTATACTCGAGTGTCTGCAGTGTGCTGCTTCAATTGAACTTGATTGATTTTAACGAAATGCGAGTAAAAATACACAATTTCTATATTAATTGAAACACAGCAGCCGCAGCAGCAGCAGCAGCAGCAGCAGCGGCAGCAGCAACAAAAACAATAATAATAATAATAATAAAAGAAATCATCAATGAAATGCAACCGCTGATTGCGTCACGTGCCGCCAATCAAAAGCCCCATCGCATAGAGTAGGCGTAATCGTAATCGCCAACACGTACTTTGCCCCATTTCAATTCCCAGCTTCCAGTTTTCAGATTGCCGCTGTGCCAATGCCCAATCGCCATTACCTATGCCCCATTCTCTGATTCTCTGATTTATTTACATATTTTATTCAATTTTTGCATATTTAAATATTGCTTTCCTTCCTTCTGTTCTCCACTTTTGTCGCCGCTCTTAAGTGTTTTTTGATTTATGAGCTTTATATGGGCTTTGTATTCGCTTAACCTTTGTCTGCTCATAAAGAATCTCTCTATTTGCTTTATTTAAATTTTATTTGTGTTTATATGTCATATTTAAAGCAGGTGTTTTCTTTTTGTTTGTTTAAAGGTAACATTTGATTATATATGACATTATTTTTTCATGGTGAAAACTTTGAGAAAACCCAAATTTTGCTATACTTTTCGAATAGAGAGAGATAAAGAGACCTATGTTGAACTGTTTTTAATCTTTGCTCTGATAAGCGTGCCTTTTATTTAAAATTCTGATCCCAGGGCGCATAATTGATCGTTTAATTCGCAGAATGAATCGCAAATCTCATATTCATTTGTATTCATCATTAATCATAATATTTCTCGAGCAGCCGAAACGTGTCTATAAGAATGTACATTCATTGAAAGGAATCATTTTTTTCGTACCGTAGAATTGCAATAAAATATAGCATATGTAGGATATATACGTATGTATGTAGGTTTGTATTAGATCAATTCTGAGTTTAATTTGTTAACTAGACGCCACAGTTAGAGCTCTTAGGGACTCGAATAATCAAACACTCATCAACTATGACCTATACTAATATAGACTCATATGCTATTCTAAAAGTAAAATTTCTTCTTATAGAGTATATGCAAATTAATTAAGCTAATCTCTGATTTGCTGGGTTCACGAATTTGTCTAATTTGCTCTCCCATAATCATTAATAATTAAACATTTGTGTATTTCCCATTTGCATTTGTTTTTTTGTTT